CCCTCACCCCGCCTACAGGACGTTTTGCCTGTGCCGGCGCAGGGCCCGCTGCTGGTTACTAACGCCGGCGCAACCTTCCCCGCGGCGGACCTGCTGGTGGACGCGGGGGGGCCCGACGGGGAGCAGCTGGCGGCGGTGTTTGAGGTGGTGCCGGGCTCTGTCAACCGAGAGACCGGGGAGGTCGTGCGGGAGGCGGGGCTCTACCTCAGAAACCTCTCGCGCTACGTGCGCGGCCGCCGCTGGCAGGCGGCGCTGCGGGTCAACGGCGAGGCGCTTCCGCCGCAGGCCGAGGCGCGGCTGCTGGTGCCCGGGGACAGCGTAGAGTTTGGCGCCACGGGCGTGACGCTCGACGTCGCCCTGGCCGCCGCGCCGCAGCCTGGCGCAGTGGAGGTGGCCGTGGCGCGCTACCTGGCCGGCGTCGTGGCTGTGGCGGCCGACTCTCCACTCGCCATGCTGGGAGCGGCGGCAGGCATTCCTCAGCAGCAGCAGCAGCAGCAGCAGCAGTCCTCGCCTGCGCCGTCACCCCCTCCGCCCGCACCGCGGCCCACCTATGTGAGCGAGTCTGGCAACTGGGACGAGGACGAGGGGGAGGAGGCGGACGCGGATGACCCGGCCGCCGCCGGCCGCTCGCCCTACGGCGCGCGCGTTGCCGCAGCGTACTCCCTGGCCCGCAGCAGCCCCGCCGCCGCCGAGCGCCAGCTGGCGGCGCTGCTGGCCGAGGCGCCCGCGACGTCTGCAGCCTGGTTCGTGTGGGCCCAGGTGGCGGCGGGGAGCCGGCGGCCGGCGATGGCGCGAGACTTATTCCGTGCGGCTGCCGCGGCCGCCAAGGCGGAGTTGTCTGCGGCGGAGGCGGCGCGCGCCCCCCTGGCGCTGTCGCAGCCTATGAGCGCGCGGCTGGCCAAGGTGCTGCGCGTGTGGGCGCGCATGGAGTGGGACGTCAGCCTCAACGGCGCCGCGCGGCGGCTGTGGCGCGCAGCTGCCAACGAGGCGTTCCGCTACCCGCGGCGGCTGGCGGCCGGCGTGGGCGGCGTCGTGCTGCACGCCTGGGCTGCTGCCGAGTACGAGCGCGACAACCTGCGCAACGCGCGCATCGTCATCGGCGAGGCGCTCCGCAAGTGCTCCAACGACACGGCGGTCAACGTGCTGGGCGGCTCCATCGTCGCGCGCGGCGGCGACGTGGAGGGTGCGCGCGCGCTGTTCCTGCGCGCCTACCAGCTGGACCGGCGCGAGCGGCGCGAGAAGCAGCTCTACATCGCGTGGCCGCGGCTCGAGGCGGAGGCCGGCAACGCGGAGCGCGCGCGCGTGCTGTACCAGCGCGGCCTGGCAGCACACCCCAATAGCGCCAAGCTACTCAACGTGTACGCCTCCTTCGAGGCCAAGCAGGGCAACGCTGACCTGGCGCGCCAGCTGCACGCGCATGCGCTGACCCTGGACCCGCGCAGCGCCACCACGATGCACAACCGCGTGAGCTGGGCTACGCTGGAGCTGGACGGCGGCAACGTGGAAGCCGCGCGGCAGCTGCTGCGGGAGGGGCTGGACCTGCACCCAAGGTTTGGTGCGGCGCTGGTGCTGATGGCGCGGCTGGAGCGGCAGGCCGGGGACTACGACCTGGCGGAGGCCTACGTGAGGCGCGCCTACAAGGTGAGGTTTTAGGGTTCACTATTAGAGGGGGGGGTCTGGCACGGGCCCGGAGTACCTTTCAGTGAATTGAAGGGGTGGCTTGGCGCACCGGCAGTGCATGGCGGCCAGGCAACGGCCCCGGCAGCGCAGCAGTGACTCCCTGTATTTAGCAGAAGCCGCTGCAAACTGTCTCAGTTGGCGCCGCGCACCGACCTCTGGGCTGATCCCGCATGCACAGCGCTTGCAATCTCGACGGCTCCTCACTCAAGCCCCAATTTTTCAAACGCAGGCCGGCCACGCGTTTGATCCTGCCGCGATGGGGGAGCTGGCTGCCATCTATGAAGCACGTGGTGAGGCCGCCCTGGCGGCAAACCTGCGGCGTCACCTGGCCAACAAGATTGCTATGCGCGACGCCAAGCGCAGCGGCAGTGCCTGGGCCAGCGAGGCATGGGTCCGCTATGCGGAGGCCACGCGCAGCGCGGAGCAGCGCCAGGTCGTGGCGGCGGCCCGGCGGCGAAAGAAGGAGCTGGGCCTCATCCGCCCTCGCGACAGCAGCCTGGGCGGTGCATTCGGCGATGACTGGGGCCAGGCGTGGGGCAGCGGCGGCGGAGGCGGCGG